GTTTCCAAATCACCCAAACAGAGGGGGGCTACTTGTTTTATAAAAACATACATTTACGTGACTCATCTTCAATTATGGTAATAAATTTACACATACATGAATATTTAATTGCCTAACTACATCCTAAAGTTAAGGACTCCTCATGATAATTATTAATAATAATTTATCGTAGCAAATTCTTATTGATAATATCCTGTATAATGGTAGGGGAAACACTGATTCTGTTTTTGAATTGAACTAAATCCTACAGATTTCAGTGCGAAGTGTCGGAAACTGAGCTTCTCTGTAAAATAAATAAATAAATAAATAAAACAAAATTAGGTGAGACGGCAGAGGAGTCGATGTGTGTTCTATGTGCTCGAACAACAAGTAGTGGAGACATAGTTGTTAATATAAGAGGACACGTGACCAATCGATCCTTTCCTCTTTATACACACACACACACGCACGCACGCACGCACGCACGCACACACCTACCTTTTCCCAGAAGTCATGGAGTAGGGTTACAGTGACACAGGTGCTGCCAAGACTGCATGAGTGTGTGATTGCAGGTGACACTAGAGGAAGCAATACATACTGTCATTTTTTTCTTCTGTAAACTTTTATCTTATTATTTTTAGTACTAAAAGCCTGCCCTCAAGGGTTAATGTAAAAATCTCAGCATTTTTTTTTAAAAGCTTTCAAATCTTCGATTAATTGTTTATGAAATGACTAYCTTTGTAGCTCTAAATGCAACAATGCCCTGTTTATATAAAAATAAACATGATCTAATTCTGTGAATTTCAGATCTAGTTTATATCTGCCTCTGTTGTTCAGTCCCATCTTGCGTTTTCTAGTCCCATTTTTTTGTTTTTATTTATTCTGTTTTTCCAACATCTCAAAACACAGCCTCAGCGTCTGAGGGAATGCTTAACATTCATCTGTGTATTTTCGTTACTCCTAATTACGACCTCCTTCTCCGTTTCCATCTGTCTGAGCCCAAACTCTGGAGCATCAGAGCTTCCTGTCCTGAGGCCTGGAGACGGATGACAGACCCCTCACACACAGCCGCCGAGTTTTTGTGTTGTTGTTCTGTTCATCACTTGGTTTCCACTGTGTTCGATGTCTGCTGCTCCTCATCATACTGGCCTAGTTTCTGTGGAACATCTTGTGCCCCCTGAATGAACTGAGGTGGAGTTTCTTGGCTGTCTGAGTTCAAAGCAGCTTGGATGTTAAAACAACCGTGAGCAGAAGTATAAAAATGAGTTTCCCTGTCAGGCAGGTGTGTGTTTTTAATTGTTTTGAACGTCATCCTAATAAACGCTCCTGTCCCCGATGTTTCGGTTGCTGCAGGTGTTTGTTTGTTGAGCAGCTGCTAATCATTTTTTAATTCCCTACGTAATGTATGCTACGAAACACACAGCTGCCTATTCGTTTAAAAATCGAACAACACAATTGCACTTATCACACCACAAACCAGATGTATAAAATTCAAAACATAATTTGTCACAAAGGATCAGTTCGCTTGGCTTGAACATGTGTATAAAATGTCCAAATAGTTTGCAACTTTTATATATATATATGTACACTCACCGGCCACTTTATTAGGTACACCTGTCCAACTGCTCGTTATCACTTAATTTCTAATCAGCCAATCTCATGGCGGCAACTCAGTGCATTTAGGCATGTAGACATGGTCAAGACAATCTCCTG